TCAGCGACCCCATTCTGCTGTGGGGAGTCCGGTAGGGTGAACGTCTGGGTGATGCCCTCCGCACGACAAAAGCGACCAAGGACACCTGAGGCAAACTCGCCACCACGGTTGAGTGCAGTCGCAAGACAGGGAGACCGCGGTGGACACGCGCAGAGACAAGCCAGGGGATGCGAGCGCCAGGCACGTCGGCCTTGCGCTCCAGGGGAAAGACTGTGGTGTAACGAGTGAAGTCATCGACAAGCACAAGGAAGTAGCGCTCTCGACGCGGCCCAGGGACGGGGGCGGGGCCCCAGACGTCCAGGTGCAGGGTCTGCAGCGGCGCGGCGGTAGGGGGAAACGAGGAGGAGTGAGGGGCACGGCGAAGCCGACCCTCGACACAAGGTGTGCAAGGTGGGGCTGGGGAGGAGGGAAACGCGGGGAGAGAACCTGGGAGACCAAGGACAAGACCGTGCTGGGACATGTGACGCAGACGCTGGAGCGCAGGGTGACCTAGGCGGTGGTGCCAAAGGAGGGTCGGGTGAGTGAGAGACCGACAAGAGCAGGCAGCAGCAACCTGGGTGAGCGCTCCAGCCGGGGGGGTCACGGTGTCCAGAGTGAACAGGCCGGACACCGGGTCCCGGGGGAACGTGGACAGGGGGGCACCAGTGGCGGCCTCGGTACAGACACCATACCGCTCGTGACCAGGGAACGTAGTGGTGACGCCAAGGTCCTGGAGGCAGCCGACACCAACTAGCTTCCTGGAGAACGAAGGGATATGCAGACCTGTAAGAGAGCCCGAAGGAACCGCCGGACAGGGAAGGGTGGTGGAACTGCGGGCGACGATCGGACCTCCAGAGGGGTCAGCGAGAGAAACGGCAGCAGGGACGGGAAGCGGCGTCAGTGTGGTGGAGTCACGGAAGAAACACCGAGAAGCGCCAGAGTCCAAGGTGAAGGAAAGCGAAGCAGAGGCATCGGGCGACGGAACGACGGCGGAAGCACCAAGACTACACAAAGCAGAGGATCCTACGCCTGACGCAGTAGGGGAGGCTACACTAGGCACACCTACACTAGGCAACAGTGAGTAATAAGCGGGAAGCACACTAGAGTCAGCAGCATACATCACATGCAGAGCAGAAACAATGGCATCCATGTCCATATCAAAGATCTGAATCTGACGACTAAGCAAACTGTGCCAGTCCGGGAGGTCTGGCGACGGGCCGAAGCGCTGACGAAAGAGGTCGTCCAGACGACGAAAACAACGGGTAGTGGAGTGACCGATCTTACCGCAAACGAAGCCGCGGCGACGAGCGGTCTGGATCTGGTACTAACAGCGCCCGCCGCCACTCGACACACCACCACGCGCCCGGCCACCGCCAGCGCCGGGCCACCCGGGCGGGAGGACACTCGTCTGCCGCGTCTGCGACGGCTGCTGCGGCTGCTGCGAAGGCTGCGACTGCGGCGGCTGCTGCGGCTGCTGCAACTGCAGGGGCGGCGACTCAGCTGGACTGGGCAGGGTCCCCTCGTCCGCTCCAGCACCAGACGACCCGACCCACCACTGCCCCACCCGCACCCCGCCTCCGCCTCCGCCGCGCCCAACCTTGGGGCGGCGCCCCTTCCCCGAACGAAACTGCGCTGCAGCAGCAGTCTCAGCCACTGCGACAGAGCCGTCGGAGAAGGTACACTGGGCGGGGGCACAACCCTGAAAGATAGGGACAGGCACGACACCGCTCGCCTGGGCGATGGAGCGGTGACGGGTCTCTATCACAGTCAGGGTGTCTACAAAGTCAGTGAGGGTGAGGTCGCGGGGTGAAGGCTAAGGAAGCGGTCGCGGGCGACAGCAAGGCGGTCAGGGAGGCGGGTGGCAAGCAGGTAGAGGGTAGAGGTATGGGCGGCTGGTGGGCTCTAAGCTGTGCGTCAGTGCAGGCGGCGCGCCAGGTCTCCTCTATCGAGCTCAGGTGGGCAGCGAGGTCAGAGACAGTGGGGAAAGATGCAAGGTCAGGAAAGAGCATCGGGAGGATCAGGCGACCCACCGAGGCAGCCGGAGGGGTGGAATAGCGCTTGATCACAGCATCTAAGTATGCCTGAGCAGTAGTGAGGGACCTAAAGCGAGGACGCTCGGACGGGGGAGGGCGTTGCTAATGGCAAGCTGGGCGACAGCATCGCGAGAAAGCCAGACAGAGCGCGCACGGGCAGTGGCAGCAGTAGACTCACGCTCAGTGGGTGTGGGGTCAGCGGGCAGAATAGCAGGGGGTCTGGGCAGGGGAGCGTACCGTCAAGGTGTGCGGAAAGCGGTTCACCATCCTGCCGCTGGCCAGTGAGTTGGCGGCGGAGGTCGGCAAGCCACGCCTCGAACTCTAGGGGCTGACCTTCAGCGTCGAAGCGAAGCTCCGCCGCCATCAGGAACAGTCCAGTGCAGCTAGGTGGGGCGCGGTGCAGTGCGGTACAGTGCGGTGCAGTGCGGTACAGTGCGTGTGCAGTGCGGTGCAGTGCGGTGTAGTGCGGTGCAGGCAGTACAGTGTGGTGCGGGGTGGGGGGAACCGTACCAGGAGGAGGACAGGGCCGGGGCTGGCGCGACGGGGCCGGGCGGGCGCGACGGGCCGGGCGGGGCGCGACGGGGCCGGGCGGCGCGACGGGCCGGGCGCGACGGGGCCGGGCGGGGGGCAGGGCCGGGCCGGTGCGACGGGGCCGGGCGAGCGGACGGCGGCCGGGCGGGTGCGACGGGGCCGGGCGGCTGCGACGGGGCCGGGCAGGGTGCGACGGGGCCGGGCTGGCGCGACGGGCCGGGCTGGTGCGGCAGGGGACGGGGCGACGGGCCGGCGGGCGCGACGGGGCCGGGCTGGGCGACGGGCCGGGCGGTGCGGCGGGCCGGGCCGGTGCGACGGGGCCGGGCGAGCGAGACGCAGCCGGGCGGGTGCGACGGGCCAGGGGGGCGGCTGCGACGGGGCCGGGCGGGCGACGGGGCCGGGCGGGTGCGACGGCGGAGGGGGCGACACGGCCCAGGAGGGGCGCGACGGGCCCAGGAGGGGCGCGACGGGGCCTGGGAGGGGCGCGACGGGCTGGGAGGGCGCTACAGGGCCCAGGGAGGGCGCGACGGGCCCAGGAGGGGCGCTACAGGGCCCAGGAGGGGCGCGACGGGGCCCAGGGGGCGCTACGGGCCCAGGAGGGGCGCGACGGGGCCTGGGAGGGGCGCGACGGGGCCCAGGAGGGGCGCTACGGGGCCCAGGAGGGGCGCTACGGGCCTGGGAGGAGCGCGACGGGGCCCAGGGGGCGCTAGGGGCCTGGGAGGAGCGCGACGGGGCCTGGGAGGGGCGCGACGGGGCCTGGGAGGGGCGACGGGGCCTGAGGGGCGCTACGAAGCCCAGGAGGGGCTACGACCCAGGAGGGGGCGCGGGGCCCAGGAGGGGCGCTAGGGGCCTGGGAGGGGCGCTACAAGCCCAGGAGGGGCGCTACGAAGCCCAGGAGGGGCGCGACGGGCCCAAGGAGGAACGCGACGGGGCCCAGGAGGGGCGCTAGGGGGGCCTGGGAGGGGCGCGACAGGGCCCAGTGAGGGCGCGACGGGGCTAGGGGGGTCGCGACTGGGCTAGGGGCTAGAGGGGTGAGCGGAAGCGGTAGGTGGGGAGGGATCCTACCTACGCGTGATACCATATCAGAAATTGAGAGTTGAATGATAGATAGAAAGAGAGTACACAAGTATATACCTCAGGGTTGTACCCTCTAAGAGACTACCCTATACAGTCTATACAAACATGACAAGTACACATGTTTGACAGATTCCTCATTAGCAGTTGCTTGGTGAAGTTCTGGCCTCAAAAGTGCCCATTACAATCCAAATTCATTTTGCATTTTACATAAGACATGGGCTTTATATTTTTCCAGCCTACTGTTAACACCCATACGTTTACTTTTAATGAAATTTTGACAATACCATAGGGTGTTATATACGGGGGAATACGGTGTCGCAAGAGCTAGGTAGCTAGGAAGCCATGAAAATGGCGAGAGGGTTTAGCTAGGAGAATGTTGACGAGAGAAAAGGGGTCGAGAATAGAAGAGAGAGGGATACAAGGAGGGGGGTTGTACCCTCTACAGTAGGTTTCAGTAACACCTACCAAGCCTACCAATTATATAAGATATATATAATTTAACACAACCCCTAGGCTTGGTAGTAGAAGAACCCACACACACCCACACCCCCTAACCTAGCACCCCCATTCCCAACAGCAGCCACGACTACTCCGGCATGGCCAATCCCCGGGGCCCGTGAGATGGCAACAGCGGCAGCGGCGGCAGTGACGACAGTGGCGGCGGCGGCGGCGTGCGGCGGCAACAGGCCAGTAGCAACAGCAGCGACGGCAGCGGCTTCGACGTCAGAGGCGACTGCAGCGGCCCCCGCCCTCTCGGCGGTGTGGCCAAGCTCCGCGACGATGGGGAAGACCCTCACGAGTTAGGCGTCGGCTGTGGCGAGGAAGAGGGGACGCAGGGGAAAAGGGAGGGGGGCAGAATCACGCCCCTGGTAGGCGAGCGGGCGGCAGGTCTAGCGGTGCCACATGCGTTGCGCGGCCGGCTGCCACCCGACGACGCTGCCACCGCAGCATTACGACGCAGCCACCGCAGCATTACGGCGCCGCCATAGTGCGGTGTCGATGCCACGGCGGGACGTCGATGCTGCGACGGCAGCACGACAGCGCCGTCACGCCGCCGCGGTTGGACGTCGACGCCACGACAGCGCGACGCCACGGCAGCGCGTCGAGACGGCCGCAGCACGACGACGCCGCCACAGCAGCACGACGCGGCCGCCACAGCGGCACGACGACGCCGCCACAGCAGCACAACGTGTGAGAGAAGGAGTGCGCGGCGGAAGCGTGGGGAGCAGGCCCGGGAAGGGCAACCTGCTCAGATACCATGTCACAAGAGCTATGTAGCTAGGAAGCCATGAATATGGCTAGAGGGTTTAGCTAGGAGAATGTTGACGAGAGAAAGGGGTCGAGAATAGAAGAGAGGGATACAAGGAGGGGGTTGTACCCTCTACAGTAGGTTTCAGTAACACCTACCAAGCCTACCAATTATATAACATATATATAATTTAACATACCTAGGCAGGCTACAAGTATACCAAGGACTAGGTGTCACAGTGAAAGGTTAAGGTTCAGGCCGAAGCCTAGATCCATGTCATCTCGCCCCTGCTCCTGCTGGCCGGCAGGTGGCGCTGCACCAGTAGCTGGCGCAGGCAAGGGGCCAGCTGCTGCTGCTGCTACACTGCGGACAGCTATTGTCTCTACAGAGTCCTTCGAAATGGGAACACTAGACGAGCCTACAGGCTGGGAATCCTGGAGGTCAAACACAGGGAGGGTGGAGTGCTGGTGCTGCTGCTGGAGCAGCAGCCGCTGGTGCTGGATTAACAATTGCTGGTGCTGGAGTAACAGTTGCTGGTGCTGCTGCTGCTGCTGCTGCTGCTGCTGCTGAGCCATGTGACCATGCTGAAGCTGTAGTGCTTCTAACGAAGGGGAAGACCAGTTACCAGCAGCAGCAGCAGAAGCAGCAGCTGCCGCAGCAGCAGCAATGGCTGCAGTTGCATCAGCAGCAGCAGGGAAAGTGTCCCGTGGACCGTGCTGCTGCTGCAGAGCCTGCATAAGGGCAGTGGTGGGGAGAGAAGGGATGTGCAGGGAGGGCGCAGGGGCAGTAGGCGCATAGGGCAGTGGGGGGAGAGGAGCGGTGTGTGCACTGCCATGGCACGTAGAGAGGGGTTTAGCATGGAGAGGGAGCGATGGAGGGGCGCTTCCATGCTCACACTGCGATGGGGCTGATGGGGTTGGGAGTGGTAGACAGCCATGGGGTTCCACTCCACTTCCTCACCGGTTTCTCCTTTCTTCTCCCCTAACTGCTCCTGCCGCACCTGCTGTTGCTGCTGCTGCTGCTCCTGGGCCTGCATCCTTAACGCACTCTCCCTTGCTCCATCTCCCCGATTGCTCCCAATGCTGTGCTGGTTCAGCGCTTGCGAGCGGCCATCACCTGCTGCTGCTGCTGCTGCTGCCCCAGCCCCTCCCACCATCGCCGCGCTCCCTGCCATTCTTGGAAGCCCTCCAGGTGACCCTAGGCCCAGCAGTCTGCTTAGCACAGGCTCTGCTGCTGCGGCTGCTGCACCCCCGCCTGACGCTGCAGCCGCAGCCATAGCAGCCGCCATCACTGCTGCCGCTCCCACGTCCTGGCCTCTCCCTCCCGCCCCACCAGCAGCACCAGCAGCACCAGCAGCACCAGCAGCACCAGCAACAACAAGTGGAGTCAATCCTGCCACTGCCCCGCCACACCCTTTGCCACCTCCCACCCTTCCTGCTCCCCCAGCCGCCACCGCTCCTCGTGCTGAGTCGCCAGGAAGGGGCAGGAGAGGCGGAGTGAGGGAGGTCGGGGCGGCCATGAGAGAAGAGGAGGCGGGGGCGGAGGCAGCATCACTGAAGGTATACCCTGAGAAGTTGGACCGGCGCCTCTTGGTGTGCGCAGTCATGTGTCCGCCCAGCGCCTGGGCGTTGTTGAACCGCATTCCGCAGTCCTTGCACTTGTACCCGTCCTCGCTGCACCACAGCTTTGGCCGGCTCCCTGCACTCCCCCCTGCTCCTGCTCCTGTGCTACCTGCACCAGTCGCAGCAGCCCCAGATCCCACTTCCCCACCAGTAGCAGTACCAGCAGCAGCAGCAGCATTGCCTGCTGAGGTTTGCTGGGTGGCTGTTCCTGCTGACGCTGTCTGCTTGCACCGCACACCACTCCCACTGCCGCTGCCCCCACTCCCCCCTGCTGTCCCAGCTGGTGCCGCCGCCGCTGCTGCTGCTGCTGCCGCTGCAGCACCAGCAGCGGCCAGGGAGAGGGTCCTCCTAGGCGCTAGCCCTGCACTTGCATCAGTAGCAGCAGTCGAGGCAGGACCTGGAACAGGGGGGGTTCTAGCCCTCGCGAGCGCTGCAGCTGTAGCCGAGGAAGGATATCCTGCCTGCGGCCTCCTCGCCTGCTGCTGCTGCTGCTGCTGCTGCTGTGGGTGCGTGGTATGGGGTGCTGGTTGAGGCACGGAGGAGGGCGTTCCAGGCCATGTCAGCCCAGACAGCCCCGCACCTCCTGCTGGCCCCATGCCCCCAGACGCTACCGCTGGTGGTGCTGGCGATGGCGGTGGTGGCGGCGTGGTGGCAGTGGTGGCAGGAGAGGCTGAGGGAGGGAAGGGGGAAGTGGGGGGTTGGAGCGCCAGGGAAATGTATAGATGGGAGGAAAGTAGCTGGGGCGTTGGCAGGAGGGGCGGCAGCTATGGCAGCAGCATGAGAGGCGGCGATGAGAGAAGCCATGTGGTCGTTCCACCACGCTGGTAACACCGCTCCCCGCCCCCGCCGCCTCCAGGGAAAGTCACTTTCTGTTGCCTCTGCTGCGGCGGCTGCTGCGGCTGCTGCAGGTACTGTTGCTGTTGCAGGTGCTGCTGTCCCGTGTTGCTGTTATGCGACGACTCCTCCCTGCCTCTCGCCCACATCTCCCGCTCCCCCACCCTTGCGCCGCCCACGCTTGCGCCTCCTGGCTCCCTTGCTGCCACTTGCCGCCCCCGCGCCTGCTGCTGCAACCGCGGCAGCCGCCATCGCTGCAGCAGCAGCGAGAGTAGCCGCCAGAGCTTCCCGGTTACCCGCATCTTTCTCCGCGCCCGCGTGCGCGCCCCCGTTGTCCGCCACCAACGCTATCCCCTCGCTCCGCCCGGCAGGAAGCCTCCGCGGGCCCATCCAGCTCGCGCCCGCGCCCGCGCCAAGCGCGTGCGCAAGGCTTTGCGCAGCCGAGTACGCCGCAGAGGACGCGGTTGCGGCGACGGCGGCCGGCGCGACGCTTGCGGCGGTCGGGGCAGTGGCGGAAGCCGCCGCGGTCCATCCTGATCCCGGAACCAGGAAAGGCGCGCCCGCCGCAGAGCCCGCCGTCCCAGCAACCGCGCCGGCCGCCGCCGCTGCAGTCGCCGCTGCAGCCGCGTGGTGCGGGGAAGCGCTGTTAAAGCTCATGTGCACGCGGTCCCTCTGCGTGAGATGCCCCGCGGGCGCGCGCGGAATGAGCATCAGCGCACCGGGCGAGGTCCGCCCAGCCGCGGCTGCTGAAGTGGCAGCAGCAGCAGCGAGGGAAGCGGCGCTTCCGGCTGCGGAGGCGGCGGTCGCTCCAGGCGCGGTGACAGCAGCGACTGTAACAGAGGCGGAGGCAGAGGCGGATCCGGCGTGCTCCGGCTGTAGCTGAGGCGGCGAGGCCAGTGGCAGCATCATCTGTAGCCGCAACGCGTGCTGTACGGCGGCGGCGTCAGCAGCGCCTTGCAGACCTCGCGCAGACGCAGCGGGGCGGCTACGGCGCGTCTTGTTGCTGATCGTGTCGGCGCGGCGGAACGCACCCTCCCCCATCATGCTTCCCTCTGACCTCCCCGGGTCGGTCAACGACCCTGGGCCGTCATCGCCGCTGCGCCGATTAACCGCGCTGTTGTCGCCTCCCCCTTCCTCCGCCTTCGGCACTCCCCCTTCCCCGCGCCGCGGAACGCGCGATCGAGCGGCGCGAACGGCAGCAGCTGCCTCTCCCTTCCCTGCACCTCCTCCTCCCTCCCTTCCTTCGCTCCAGCGCCCTTCCGCGGAGCGTGCGGCGAGGAAAGCACGGCGGAAGCGCCCTTCTCCGCGGGCATCAGGAAGGCGAAAGTGCGCGCGCCCGTCGACTCGGGGTGATCCGCGGTCGCCGAGGCTCCACCGACGCCGCCGCCGCCACCGCCGACGGCGGCGAGCGCGCCTTCGACGGTATCGCCGGCAGAGGCCCAGATGGAAGAGGAGCCGCGGAACCGGCGGGCATGATCTAAACCCGCGGGGGGGACAACCCGCGAGTGCGCGTGCGCGTGGGCGTTCCTAGCTCCAGCGCGTGGGTCTCTCCCGCAGAGGCAACGCCGCCGCCAGGCGCGTAAGGGTACGGGGACAGACTAAGAGGGTCCGCGAGAGGGGTGGACGCGGTCAGCGAGAGATGCTGGGGCGACGGCAGCTGCGCGGGGTGGCGGAAGTCTGCGCTCCGGCTGTCGCGCGGCTCGTCCTTCACTGCCTCCGCGGCGGAGGGGAAAGCGACGGCTCCGGGGACGGCGCGCGGTCGCTTTTTAGCGGGCACCCCGTCTTCCCCACGCCACATGCCTGCGGGCGGCACGGGGGGGAACTTCACGTGCGGGAGGATGCGGTGACCGAATAAAACCGCGCCGGGCCCCTCGGGAGCTGGAGTCGCGACCGAGTCGGAGTCCTCGCGCTTGCGGCGGGACGAGCCGCAGCGCGCGGCGCTGGCGGCAGCGGAGTGGGTCGCCGTCTCGGCGGAAATTTCGCAGAGGAAGCGGCTGATGCGCTGCCGCTGGCTGGTCACGTTCCGCGACGTCAACGGCGGCGGGCGCGGCGGGCAATGCGGACGATCCAGCACTAATAGGTCGGGAACGGTGCCGACGGCGCTGCGATGATTGCACGTAAGGAACGTGCGCGATGGCTGGGCGGGAACGAGGGCCGAGGCGGAGGATTCGGGGGAAAAGGAGCCCGCGGAGGCCGCGGAGAGAGAGCAGGCTGGAGGGATTTGCCGATGCTTGCTCGCACGCGCCGATAGCGGCGCCGCGCGCGGAGTAGCGAGAGGATTGCTTAAGTTAGGCGGATTACTATTGTCTGCCATAGAAGCGCGCAGCCAGAGGCAGTAGCAGCGGCAGCGGCGGCAGCGGAATCGGATTCTTCGGCGACACTTTGGTGCTTTTGCGAGTACGCGTTGATTGATCCAGGGTGACTGCCGGCGAAGTGGGCGAGAAAACCTGAGCTTCCTTGCCAGTAGTAGTACTGGTGCTGGTGGCTAACAGAGCGCACAGCACGGCGCGGGCTGAAACGGAGAGCGCGGAGCGGCGGCAAGACGAGCGAAAACAGTGGGGCCGTGTGACTTGACGCGCTGATGGTTTCGGTTCTGAGGAGAAGGAGCGAGGAGAATTAGCAGCGCAGAGTGAAGGACCGACGCCGCCGAGCGCGTAGGACACTGAAACCAACTTGAAGCGAGAGTGAAAGGAGGAAGGTACGTGCGCGAGAATTGCCGGCGTCGCATGGAAAACTGACTCGACAGCGGGTAGAAGAAGTGAGGGAAGAGCTATCGCGCAAGTGCGGAGGAACGACGGCGACTGTACGGGGGAATAAGTCACCATGAAAGCCTTGCTGCTGTACTGCACTTCACGATGGCGGTTGATGGTTTGTGCTCTGGGCGATTGCTAGCGAAACGATGAGACAGAGATACTAACGGGCTAGTGAAGCGGTGGGTGAGGGCGTCGTCACTCTAATAGCCTGGCATTAGATGGAATGGACTAAACCTCACAATCCTACAGCCTTACTCAGTCTGCACTAGTCTGTGCAGTGATTGACACGTAGCACCGCCAACTGGAGATTCACTGAGGGCCCGCACTGTATGGGTAAGAGTGTCTCTCTCGGGCATGCTCCGTAAGAGCAGGACGAGAGAGAAATTGATTCTGTTTAGGGACCTTCCCGAAGGCAGCCAGCTCGAAGCGCTGCCGCCAGCGTGTACAGTGCAGCGTGTAGTGAAGTGAAGGCTCCCCTGTCCGAGCTGGAATCAGTGCACGCGCTTTCCTGGCTTATCGCGACAAGCCAGCTCCTTGCCAGTGGTTTGGGTTGGCCTGGGCGCTGGAGCTGGCTGGCAGGCATCAATAAGCTGGGCGTCCGACATCGCCAGCTCGTGAATCACTCGAAAGAGCGAGCAAGGGGTGGCGTTGGGTTTGGGGTAGGGAGGAGTCGGGACTAATTACCAGAATTGTCATGGACACACTCGTAATTTTCGCGGTTGAGATATGAATCCGGCTTTTATAGGCGTTCCCTTGTTGCTGCTAAAGGATGCACATCTCCTTGAGCAAAGTGCTTCTTTGCGGGTGGGAATATTGAGTAAAGCGCGAGAGGAAGGGGGTTCGGAAGGAGGGCCATGGGGCTGCTCTTCCAGTCTCATCCGACAGATCTGCTGTTACTCCAGGTTGGCACACTGGGCCACCCGATAAGACAGAGATTGCGGGCCGAAGAAATTCAAAAAAAAAAAACAGTTTTTGTTACAGGCAGTAGCCACACTGGGTGAACCAATGATAATCGCGAGCACGTCCGGCAATCATTATGAGCATTCCAAGGGTACAATCGATGCTCACCCAATCCCGTACGCAGCGCCTATCCCAATCAGAATCACTTTTCAAAACCTCGGATTTAGGGTCAATGTGATAATGCATACAACCACATCTACACCGCACAGCTACCGAATCCACCACATGTTGATGGAGTGTGGAACGAAACGACCACACAATTGCCCGTTGGAACCTGTTTATTGACCAGACACAAATATCTTGTTACAAATTCCACGTTTCTGTCCCATTTGCCCGTGGCGAAGCATGCGAAATGAAGAGCTCGACCTCAAGAAGTGTTGCCCAAGCATCCGCTGCCAAAGAACCTGCGGCACAATGGGGAAGATTTATTGTGCGCAAGAAGTTTCCTGCACATGCTCAAATAAATCCACATGGTAGGGTAAACCCCTTCACAAAGATGAATGATTACTGCCCATCCCCCGCCAATCGGTTGGCCAGTCCCCACCGCAGATATCACACCGCAGAGCTCTGCTGGGATTGCACGCACGGGACGACATCAACAACAGCGAGCGGTAGAATTAAGCAACCGATTTTCTTGTAGCAGGAGCAAGCCACTCGGGTCAAGTGCCATCTCTGAGTGTCACAGATGGTACAGTAAATCTAAAGTACACTGACGTTTTTCAGCAGTCATTCGTAGCATATTTGCGCCTTGTCGTGTTTTGATAGTCATACAGTACTGCCAAATCAATGTTTAAAAACCGGGGAGCTTTTGATGCAAAACCTTGTGAAAGGACCTGGCATACTCAGGCCTGATGCAGATTCTCCAGAAATCTCCAGGCTGTGACATAGGATCTGATTCAAATTGGAACTTGGCAAGAATGAATCAGCGTACTAAAATCCTGCACCGTGTCAACTCTACCGACAATGGAATGCGAGTCAGGGAGGGACCCTTGGATGGCATTGCGGATGACATGACGCAAAAAACCTCTGACTGAGGTGCGTCTGCAGCTTCGTGTCAGCCATTCGTGTCACACCATAGGCGGCATTGATCT